CAAGGTCATATGTTAATCAACAGTACTCATTATTCTCACTGGTAGTTGCTTCAGCCTGTCACTCGGGAGTTGAGAAAATTTATGTCAAGTGCAACCTACTTTCTACAGTATCGGGTCACCATATTGCTTCCAGTGTGTAGGCAGCTTTAGAAAAGCTTTCTTGTCATTTCTTCAAATAATCTTCAGGAATAGTTCTCCAGGCTTCTTGAAGGACATTCAAAGCTCTTCTTTGGATGTTTCTGCCTTTTGTTCTGTTCTCTTTCAAGATGATCCCACACTGCTTCACTAATGTTGAGGTTGAGGATCTGGGGAGGCCGATCCATGACTGACAGTGTTCCACTATCTGTTCTTCTATCCGGGTATGTTTTTACAGCATTGGCGGTGTGTTTGGGATCATTATCATGCTGAAAAGTAAAGCTGTTTTCCAGACACTTTCTAGATGGCATTGTATGGTGGATTATGGTGGAGTCTCAGCTTATAATTCCATCAATTTTGACAAGATTTCCAACACCACTGGCTGAAAAGGAGGCCCAAACCATGACTGTGCCTGGGACTTTGTTTTTCTTCCACATATCCAGTTTTTTAAGGACACACTGCAAACCATGCTTTGTTTTTGGCTAGTAGCTCTTTGGAAATCAAGTTTTTAGTATTTTCCATTGTATGACAGGCTGACCATAACGAAGATACAATTAATTTTTTTTTATCTTGTCTATTATGTGCAGGCATAAGACTGGTTCAATCCATGAGCTAAGTGCCTGTGTGTGTTTGAATGATTCGTAGGCCGGTGTTAAGTGGCTTGACCCCAAAAAGGTTGTTTTTTTTATATAAAAAGTGGACTAAAAACACCTGAAAAAGCAGCAAATGTCTAAATCTTTGAAAGGCCATCGAAAAGCCTAAGAGAACTAGTGCTCAAGACCCCCTAAAAAAAGAAAGAAAAAAACACTCAAAAAACCCACCAAAAAACAAGAATGTATGGCTCCTTCAAAACAAAATATAATGAAATGGGCGGTCGTTCAAGACTTTAGTGCAGAACTATACTTTTATATTATTTTTATTTTCTTCAAAGATTGCTGAAAGAATAAGGCTATATCTGTCTTATACAGTCCATAAAGTTAGTAAAATGTGCCCAGAGATGACTACTGTCGGGACAATCACTATAAAAATAACATTGAACTGAAGTGAGTATAAACAATGAGCATCGTTTGAAGAGTGAAGTCGCTCAGGAAGTGCTTTAAACCTGCATTCTTTCTAAAGACAAGCCAGAGGTGACTCTTCTGGTTCCAGGAAAGGCATGCAACAGTACAAAAACTGCTACTTCCCTCTCTTATTTTATGCCCTCCATGTTTACTTTGTAAATGACAATTGCATGTAAAAATACTTTTGAAAAACTAGTTGTTACTGTATGAGTCCCATGCATTCTCTTGCAAAAGGGCAAGATAGCAAAAAGAAAAAAAAAAGAGTCCATCCATCCATTTTCTTCCACTTATCCAATTTGGGGTTACAGTAGGGCTGGAACTACTCCTAGGTGTCACAGGGTAAGAGCAGTGGATACCCTAGAAAGGTCACCAATTTGTTGCTGGGCTAACATAGAGAAACAGACAAGCATTCACAAACCTACGCCCGATTTAGAATATCTTTTGGACTCAGACACGGGAAAGGCCCCGGCCAGCTGGTGGATTCAAACTCAGGAATGGCTTGTTCTGGGTACTAGGCGAGGTCAAAGTGGCATTTATTACACGCTAACACACATGGATTGGGAATACATACAGCTCTAATTGCAGTGTGGTGTACCCTCAATGATTGGGGGCAGTGAGTTACTTTGGTAAACCTGTCAAACTAGACAGCTTTTCTTTTTCTTGAGCAACTGTGTTACTTTCAGTCTTTGTTACACGTGCCTCATTATGTGGTTTGCACTTCTTGTGAGAGAACTGCAGGTTTATACCTGTCTGCTTTCTTTTTTAAAATTTCAAAAACCTGGGTTTACTTGCCAGGTTATTAATCACAATGGTGTGACCGCTTCACTGCAGTCTTTCGGCACAGAGAAGTCAGGAAACAATTGGTTGGAGTCTTCTTATTTCAAGGTTTATCTGTGAAATCAACAGTGGAATCACATTAAATATGTCAATCTTTTTAGAAGTCATCTACACAAAAGCACAGAGTTAATGACACTTGCTCTCTAGCCTTGGATATTCTGAATGACTACAACAGCAGACAGTAACTTTGATCAGAAGCAAAACAATACCCGAGGTGTCACAGAATGCTCTGCCTCGATTCATAATTAAATTCCAGGAACTGCATCCCATTATGCACTCATACCCTGTGTCTGGGTGTTAGCCTGACAAAAAATGAAAAGGACGGAAGCAACACTATGTAGTACGTAAAATTACATGTAGGACTTTCCGAAGCTTAACAACTCTAAACGGGAGACACGTGTGTGGCGGCTGGATATGCAGATTGGAGAGCAAATTGAGAGAGGAACATCCTGCTTTAAACCTAAATGACTGCTGCCATCCATCACACCTCGCACTGCATGACTCATGTTTGTCTTTGCGTATGTTTAGGTGTGTTGGTTTGCACTGTGCATTTCCATAATTGCATTTGCTGTGGGAAGAGAAGCACTTACTCTCATTTTGGGCTGTGATTTATCAACCCGAGCGATTCGAGCCAATGCACACACTCATTTATCTCCGAGATGACCTTTTTCCCCAGCAAAAGGAATGGCTGCCATCTTTGTTTTTTTGTTTTTTTTTCTTCCTCTTTTTTAAGCTGCTTCTTACCCCTTGTCATGGAAGCGAGTATGGTTTTGACATTGATGGCATGCCATTCAGGAATAATTACTATTTCAAGAAAAGGCTTCTTTCAGTTTGTCACTTGTGTGGCTGTTATTATGGAGAAAGTGAATAATGGATGCTGGGAGAAACAAGTAAAAATAGAAGCTTTGTGTCGCTTCGGTTAAAATGGATTGAATATAATGTCAGCGAGTCTGAGGGAGGTACTGAAGACAGAAAGAAAGTACAAACTAAAAGATTTGCCCTGAAAACTTCAAGGTCCTGGCTTCCAAAATAACCAAAATAAAAGTGTTTACTGATTTCCCTTGAGATAATAATGTGAGTACAAGGTGAATGTGCATTTGTTGTTTGAGGGTCGCTCTCTTTGAGGCTTCACAGAGCGTGAAAATAAAATCTTGTCAAAAGGAAAAGATCCAGATCCATCATAATGTACAGCAGTGACGGCAATGAATGGCTGTAATTGCAACATTTCATGTAAGGCAGATGGGAATGCTTTAATTTTAACGGTGCGACATATACGAGTAATTAGCCGTTACTGTCTGCTGTTGCTTTTTTGTAGTCCGCAGCAATAAGAACCAAGACTTGGTTTTTCTTCATATATATAAAAAATAAAGTGACATTTTAATGGTCACCATGACAATGAAAGCTGGTATTTTCTCTGTAGCTCCAGTTAAGCGACTACGTGACCTCGTGGGATTTGACGGAGAATTTTAGGACACCTTTCCTTCATTAAAAAAAAACAACAAAAAACTCATTAGTGAAACTCCTTAGAGTTGACATTTGGCAAATCCGTGGCTCTCACTAGAGAGAAATTGTAGTTATTTCATAGCCAAAGATGCATTTCAAACCACAAGAACACACAGCCACGAATAAAGATTTGCGGATTCAAATGACACGTTTGTTTCTTCTCCTCATTTTCTTCTTCGGTCGTGGGTGAACTCAGTGAAGTGTGGTGCTGCGTTTTGCTGCACAGCGACTGCAGTGTTTTGATTCACACCACTGACTGACTTTCTCCCATAGCAACAGTGCCCGAGGCTCAGTGGTAGAGCCATCTGCCGCGCCACAATGAGAGACAAAATGTGACTTCTTCGAAACAAAGCTATAATGAAATTGAATGAAGCGATGCTTCCATAAAACCAGCAGTGCCTCTGTCTTCACACCTCTGTGCATTACCAGTACGTGCACTGTTTTATTTGGCCCAGGACACACAATCTGTGGTTGACTCTCTAATGATTGGTTTCTTTTAAGTCAGTTTTTGTACCTGTGATTATAATCAAAATACAATTTAAGTAGCTCCCATCCATATACATATGAATACTGTCAAATCTGTGTCTCATCTGTAATGTAGAGTGATCAGTTGTGACAATAAACTCAGGCATGTGACATAAGAATCGAATAAGATCAGTTGTGGAAATTGCCTTAACACATATCACCCACCTAAAAATTGTAGCAGAACAAGTAACAATAGCAGTGACACTCCCCGATGACTGTGGTCTCTCAGAAGACTATCCAGGTAGACCCTGAGCTGAAAACCTAAGGGTGTTTTTCCCTCCTCATTCCAGCAACACAACAAACACAGTAAACTAGACAAAAGACTCACACGGATAAACTTTCCACAGGATTCACCTTTACAGACTTGAAACACATAGGCCAGGGATGTCAAACTCATCCACTTTAACTGGTAAAACTGCCCAGACATTTCTGTCATTTAATGGTTTATCTATTACTGAACTACTTTCGTGTGGTATGAATGGCAGTGTCTGTATCAATAGGCAAAGCTGTAAAACTTATGAAAATACAGTTAGAAGTTTAAAATCTGTGCACTTCTTCACATTTTCCAAAGCCTTCCAGTCGGCCAGATCGGAGTCTTTGCCGGCCTTATTCTGGGCCCCGGGCCTCATGTTTGACACCCCTGACATAGGCCTTACCTAAACACCCACAAAAGCAAGAGGTGCCAGACACACCCAGACGTCACATGAGCCTTTTAAGCAGCACTAAGGGGACTTGCACAGTATTAGGCAGGTGTTTTAATGTTTTGGCATATGGCTGTAAATGCATTTGGTATGCAACCCCAGTAAATTTCCCATAAATCCTTCCTACCTAAGTCATATCCTTTGGGCACGACACTCATGCCGTAATTCCAGCCTATGCTGTACGATGATGAACACAAACACACACGCACAGCCAGATGGGCTTTCTGGCAGCTTCTACCTTGTCTCCGTCCACGAAGGTCTGACCGTCGCTGGCTCTTCTCCAGGAAATGTCAGGCAGAGGCTCGCCCTCAGCCACACAGGAGATCATGGCAGCGCTGCCCTCTACGGCTGTCACGTTTTTCAGCTGGGTGATATGGGGCTGGACTGGAGATCACAGAGGACAAGCGGGGGAGAGAAGGTAAATAAGAGAAAAAAAAGTGAGTAGAGGAGAACAGATTTGAAGGCCAGAAGAAAAGGTGTGAGTAAGGAAGGAGAAGTGAATAAAAGGATGAGCAGGAGAGAAACTGTCAAAGATCTAACTCATAAAGTGAGTTAGAAGATGAAGGCAATACCATGGGGTTTAAACACCGAGCTGATGCATGACTTTGGTACTGACAGTGTAGGCCAAGATAATTTATACAGTGCAGTCATACTCTACAGGTTTGATATAGTGAGAAAGCATGGCCTCTGGCCTATTTTGCACACACTCGTTGGACTAGATGAGAAAACTGACTTTGCTAAAGTTTGAAAGAACAAATCAACTGTTCCATGTTTTTTATTTTAAATAAATATAGATTTCTGTCTGGAAGGATGCCTCTCCAGCACCGTGTGATTTGCTTTTGGCACAGAGTGAGCACCGCGATAAGTGCTGAAAAGCGTGCCGTTGGGGGCTGGTCCCTGCTCGCCTCCTCCTGATAAGATGCTCTAAGCAAGCCCTGAAACCTGATGCATGTCAAGGGCATAGAGCATGTCACATGAATCATGGATTACTTCTTTTTTCCCCCCACACACACTGCACTTACGTTGTTAACAGGGTGCTTGCAAAGTAGCATGGCATAAAATCCGAAAGGCAAAGGGAAGTGAACAGGAAATAGTGACTACTGTACTGAAGGCTTTTAACACCGCCCGGGGGGAAGTGTTTGGCAATTTCACATGGCTTCAACCTCGAGGTGAAGGAGCCATCTTGAGGGATTTTGGGAGCTTGTCAAAACATGGGGGTCACAAAAACATACACACAGGCAGCCAGGCAAATATTCCTCTGCCTACAAGGACTTTTAGTAAGTGATCAAACTGCGTAGGCACAAATAACCAACAAAGACGGTTAGACAAAATTAACCTGAATCTCAACTTTAATAAAAAAAAAGGTTTACAGTAACAATAAACTCACTAAAACATTCACAAAAATGGCTCGATTTAACCTACTGTATTCATGAGAAATTCACAAGTTTTGTTATTGGATGGTAGATGAGACATGGTTTAAAGGTTTAGGATGATATCACTGCAACAGCCCTTTAAAAAGGTTCTTGGTTTGAAACAACCCTTCTGGAAGTAATAAAAAAATCATTAAAACTACAATCACAGGTGGGAAATGTACACACATGCTTCACACAGAGAAAACGTTGAAGTACTGATTCAACTTCTTTACTCAAGTCAACGTGAAAAAGTTCTGGCTCTGAATGAATGTACTTACAGCGTCAAAGTAAAAAGCAGCTCTTTGAAGGACTTTTCAAGCAGCTATTTTTGTGTAACTGACCTTCGTTTCCTGTCATGATGTCACAAACTGTACGTTTCTCTGTCATAGACGGGTTTGCTTTGCACTTGTTTTCCCCGAATATGTTATTTTGCCTCTTTCATCTCTGTCTCAGATCCCTTCCCTTCATTTAGGTTCAAATCAGTTTGATATTGAGAAGGCGCGCAGTGACAGGAAATAATCAATAGCACCCCTCACATATCTTGAAGCAAAAGTAATAAGGCTCCTTTGAAAATGTACAAATGTTGGGAGCGAGAGTAAGAAAAAGCTTACTTTCTCACTGTGTCAGAAAAACAAAGGGTTCTAGTAAGTTGTAGATACTTAGGGATACCTAGGGATTAGCGAATGGTCAGCTGCACCAACAAAGAAAACAGCCAATAAACAAGAAAAGGGGGTTTGTCAGATTACTGTATTTGGAGATAAAATAGTAAGATATAATTTGAGCAATTTAATCAGGTATGTGCAGAGGTTAATGTGGGCTGGATAATCTAGCTGTACTCTAACTGTACTGAGAGAATTATTAAGCAATGCAATCTGACATGCATTGAAGCAGGTTAATGCATGTCATTCTTGAATGAGTTAATCTTTCATGTGCTGCAGCCTGGCATTGCTTCTAGTGACAGCGTGGCGTTAGTGCACAGTGGTGAGAAAATAATGACATCACACAGCCCTGTTACACCCTCCAGACATTAGTTTTTTTTCTTTTTATTACTTTGATGCGTTCATGGTGAAAATGTCAATGAAGTTGTGCATGTGTCAAGCTAGCACTAAAGAAGACGAGCTTCCATGAATGGAGTAAAAAAATTCTTAGGTGGCAGGCGATTGCAGCTCATCAAACATCATCAAAAGTTGGTAAGCTAAAGGTACAGTTGGGAAACAAAGGGGAATTGCACTTTCCACAACCTAACACCAATACTGTGGAACAGTTTACCTCCTCTACGCACCATCGACTCTGTGGCTTCTTTTAAAAAACAGCTGAAAACATCTATTTAGACAGACATTTGGGTCATGTTCTTGTTTTTGTGTAAAGCACTTTGTAACAGATTCCTGTCTTAAAAAGTGCTATATAAATAAATTTTACTTACTTACTACTAGTCTAAGGAGCTTGGAAAAAGAAAAGCATCTGGACTTCTTTAAGTTGCTTGAAGACGTTTCACCTCTCATCCGAGAAGCTTCTTCAGTTATAAGGTAAAATGTTAGAGAGTCCCAGATTTAAGCCCTATGGGAGTATCCCCCCAAGAGGGACGATGGACCCCCTAATGATCCTCTACCTATTTACATAAGCCAATGTGTGAAAATAGGTGTAGGTCACAATCAGCCAAGGTTTCCTAGCCCCACCCTATCATGTGATTTCCTGAGGTCACCAAATGACCTCAGGAAATCACATGATAGGGTGGGGGCTACGTTTCACAATAAAAACCCAAAACCTTGGCTGATGGACCCCCTGTCCATCATCCCTCTTGGGGGGACACTCCCATAGGGTTTAAATCTGGGACTCTTCACCATTTGACCTTAAAACTGAAGAAGCTTCTCGGATGAGAGGTGAAACGTCTTCAAGCAACTTAAAGAAGTCCAGACACTTTTTTTTCCAAGCTCCTTAGACTACGATGACCTGGATGACTGAGAACCTTCACAGACAGACATACTACTAGTTGCTGTATTTCTCAGGGAGAGTAACAAATGTTAACGTTTGACACAGACATTTTTTTCAAAGATAAGAATTGCTCAGCGAAGTGAAATTTTTTGAACTGGAAATGCAATCAGATATTGGATCCATACATGATGTGTTGAATTATGCTTTTGTGAAACATCTCACAAAACAAACTGAAGTATAGAAGTTTTGCATTATTCAAGGTTGCATGAAAGTACTGCACTTTGACAAAAATGTCCAACTTAGTAGACATTTATTGTCCCAATAAATTGAGTCATTGAGGTTTTTTTTTATGAAGAATGTTTACATATGGCATGTGGTATTGTAATGTTAGTCAGCTAATAGCCAAGCAGCCAAGGAGCTAATGAGTCATCTCATTTTTACATTTTTTTTCTTGACTTTTGGCCTCCCTGTGAGTCCTGAATCTTCCATATGCCAGCATGTGCAGGAAGTATCTTATCATTGATAAGCCAGTTAAGCTTTCATATTTCTATAAGCATTTTGGATATGATTGATGCCTTGTGCTCGGTCTCAGTGCAGTTATACGAATATCGGCAGGCAGTAGGGATGAAGCAAACAATAAAAAAGAAAATCACTTAACAATAAACATCTTCTCAAATTCCAGCACAAACAACCACATTAATGGCTTATTTACGCTACAACCAAGTCCTCAACTCTTGTTTTCCTCAATCAAGTCAAATAGATTTGCTGGGAATAGCAAGGATAATTTTACTTGTTTCAACAACAAATCAGCGCACTTCATAACTCATTCAGAATCAAGTGTCCTTTTCTTGAAAATAGTGCAACAATCTGCTTGATTCTGTTTTGTGTCAATACAAAAGGCCACATAGAGAAGAGGCAAAATTATCTCAACTGTCGAATTTACCCCCCCCCCCTTTTTTTGCTATAAGGCCCCATAATGAGGCACAATTTCTTTGTTAGGATGACGTCTGCAGAGTGAAAGATGTTAAAAGCATCATGTTCTGACAGCTCTCCGTGTGCAAACATACAAATACAGATTCAAAACGATCCGACTGCCAAACACAGAAAACTGTTAATGGCTGAAACTGGTCTGAACCAGTTCTACAGTTCCTATCCACAGCTGTTTGCCTCAAATGCCCTTCATCATAAAAATGTTAAATGAAAAAACTCTCATTTGTCAAGCGTGATGCAAAAACCACTCTGCAGGGACTGCTATTAATAACATTTTATTGAAAACATTTCCTCTTTAAATGAGAAGCGTTCTTTACGCTAAAAGACAAAAATCCTAAATTTATTTGACCGTGGATTTTTACTAAGTGAACTTTATTCTTATTCAGTTTGTAAATTCAAATGAACTTCTTTAAGTTTCTCTTAAACTCAGCATGACAAAAAAAACTATTAGTATTTTACTCTAACACATGGTAATAACTCTAATTATGCTTAATTATTCTAATTACAGGTATTATAATAATTGTACTTGCAAATGTTGTATTTTGCTACTGCACATTGTCAGCCCTGGCAGGCTCAATCCTAACCATAACCCGTGAAAAAGCCATTAATATGTCAGAAAGAGAAGAAAGTGGCATAAATGTACAGTTTGTCACATTGTTAGTTCATGAAAGACCAAAAAAGATGGTTTGCTTTGATGCCTCTTGGCTGCTTGCAGACAGTTAATGCAGGAACAAGCCTGCTTATGCAGCTAAACTGTATTTTCATCCTCTCTATAGTAAGATTTGACATAAGGCTCTTATCCCACCCACTGACAGGTATCAGAAGGTAAAATGTGGTACTGACTGTATCTGATAATTATAACGTCTGCATTTGTTGTTTCAGCTGTGCCGATCCACAAAGCAAATGTCAGCACAGATTCTCTCCTGTCATCCCTGATGCCTCTTGTAATGCTCCAGAGTTTAGAGGGTTTAACTGAAAAAAAATCCACTGTGAGACAGTATTATTATTATAATCATCATTTTTGTTATTTTTATGGTGATGTAATTTACT